GCTTACGTCACCACAAATTACTACTCACGTTCTTGAGGTCGATCACGTTGCGAGAGGTGGAGTTTTTCATGACCGCGCGTGAGTTGGCGTAATCCACAGCGACAAACGTACTTATCTGAGGAAGTCAGAGACACATGCAAGGGAACGTTACACCAATTATATTATGTGTCACAACGCGTTGGAATCAATCGCTCGTCAGTTTTTGGCCATGTGGAGTTATTGGCATCATCTTAAAGCTTGTTCATTTGACTATCTTTCGATGGGGAAAAAACACATCTCGGTTATATAAAAGTGGAGACACTTGTGAAGTGTGCTGATAAAATGAGTTACTTCTCGGATTCAAGCCTTATGGAAGTAGAAACATCATGCTTATAAGCGAAGTTTTACAATTTATAAGTAGGAAATAATAAGAGGCATGTTCTACATAAAAGTAGAGCATCAATAGAAGAACTACTAATTTGACCTCGGTGTTGATTTTGTGCCAATATCTCCTTCTGTGGGCTGCGAGAAGTGACTCATTTTATCAGCACGCCACACATTTGCTACTGAAGGAGGTGGGGGTGGCCTAGTCTCCGAGATAACACTAGCAGGGAAAATGGCAGAAAGATTGAGAATCCTCGGAAGCTTAAACGTTGCATTTGCTGTGCCTTTAATCAACGTTTTCCAGTAAAATCCTCACAAAAATGTTTTTAAAAGGACGTAAAAGGTGTTGAGCTAAAAAAAAACAAAATTTTAAATAATTTGTCAAACTGGACGAAAAATGCCAATATCTTCATTTGCATTATTTTGACGAGCGCCTGATTTCAGCACGATGCCACACATATAGTGTAAAGAGCGTAGAGCCTGCTTTCGAGTGGGGACATGCGCTATACAAATGTTATTTATTATTATTGTACATTATAGGACTTATTATCACTGGCTCTATCATCCTCCAGTCCCAGATCTGCGACAGACATCGTCGATCATGGTTCTACATTCATGTCTTTGCTTTGATGGTCTTACAAGAAGCTACGTTTCCCTGATCTTTCCTCGTTACCCATTTGTTTCATCTTCATCATCCAGTGCAAGATCTGCGACAGACATCGTCGATCATGGTTCTACATTCATTCCTTTGCTTTGATGCTTTAAAAAAGGCTACATTTCCCAGATGTTTCCCCGTAACCCATCCATTTATTTAGCTTCGGTAGGTAGGTCGCTCTGGGCCTAAACCTGTCTCGTTTGTTTTTGATTTTACCAGTGAGAGCTAGATGCTCAAGACAGTTATGTCTATCCAGGTGTCCCAAAAACTGCATTTGTCGTTTCCTGGTTGTTTTTAACAATGAACGCCCCACGTGGGCTTCATCAAGCACTACCTCATTTGATTTTTTTCCATCCTAGATATTCTCAGCAGTCTCCTACGAAACCACACTTCTGTTGCTTCTATTTTATTTTCATTGTCTTGAGTGATTGTCCAGCATTCACAGTCATAGAAGGGTTGACCATACAAAGCATTTCAGAATTTCTACTGGCCCTGTGCATACTGAAAATCTATTTATTTAGGAAT